GCTGGAAATGTTCAGTCAAACTCCTCCAACCCTCTTCCCTTGATGGCACATTTAAAAACAATGTAGTTGCAACCAGTCCGACTTTTCCATCTGCCTTTGAATAGACAGACATGGAAAGCTACCACCGCAGTGTTTCTGATTCTCTCTCTACGCCTCTTTCTGTTCCTCTCCACCTCCTCCTCCTCCTCCTCCTCTCTTTCTCTGCTCTCGGATGACATGTTCTGGGTGGGGTTTCTTCTTCTGATGTGCCAAAGGGCTGGGCTCTGCTCCACGCTGGAGAATGGAAACAATGTGGAGAAACAGAACAAGCCTTGTGCTGCTCTGCCCTGCTTTCACCTCCAGTTTGTGAATGTTTTCAATGGTTTTTCTCTTAAAACACTCGCCTCCAACACATTGGATTTAAAACAGTTCTTAAGGTTAAAGTGTGGGGGTGTTTCAATCTAAGTTTGTGGGTACAGATCGTTGCCCTTTTCACACTACGAATAAGGATGAAAAGGCATATTTTAGCTACAATCTTGACTTTAAATGAATATAATAACCATGTTATCCCCCCCAAACTGCCTTAAATTAAAGTCACTCCTTGTACTCAATGTTTTAAAGAACATCCAATGTTCTGATATAGATCCAAAACCTCCAAAGACATTTCTACTTTCGAAACAGAACAAGCCTCGTGCTGCTCTGCCCTGCTTTCACCTCCAGTCTGTGAATGTTTTCAATGGTTTTTCTCTTAAAACACTCGCTTCCAGTACATTGGATTTAAAACAGTTGTTGAGGTTAAAGTGTGGGGGTGTTTGAATCCACATTTGTTGGTACAGATCACTACAAATGAGGATGAAAAGGCATATTCTAGCTTAAATTCATGTTATCCCCCCCACACTGCCTTAAATGTAAGTAACTCCTTATACTCAATGTTTGAAATAGAAATCCAATGTTCTGATTCAGAGACAAGACATTTCTACTTCATGCACTCACAGCTGGAGCAACTCGTTTTTCTCTCTCCACTCCTTCCTATTGAAAGGCTTTGTATGTTTTAGTAAATGCATTGTAAAATGTTATTACCTGTAAAGCAGAAACTGGCTGAAGGGACAGGAAGAAGTCACTTAAAACATAGCAGTCTCCCTCATCTTAAATCTTTAAGGAAAACCTTTTATTTTTAGGTTTGGAAAGAGACACTACCTCAAATGTAAATGTCTTCCCAGTTTACTGCAAGATGTAAGATATCAAATAAAAAGCTATGTTTGACCCTAACCCTAACCCTGATTTTGCAGCCTTGATGGAAACTGTATTAATTTTCCTGAAGCGTAAAAACTGGAGAACATTTCCATCTTGGGGATATTGATTTAGAGCGTCTTAAACGCTTACATTTGGCTTAAGATACTCTGTTTTCAGCACTTATAAAGAAGCACTTCTGGTTGATAAGGGAACAAGATGCCGGCCATGTATTCCACCAGAATAAGCAGTTTGCACGATGATCGATGAGACCTTTCTCTCGCCAAGAATTCTTGGAGAGAATCCTGCTGTAAATGAGTATGCTCGTATTTTACGCTGACAAGCCACATTGACTGTTGTCAATGCTTAAAAAATAAGATTGCATTATTCCTCTGCATGTCACAACAGCACCTCGTTCTGCAGTCATTTTAGTTCCAGGAAAAGACAATCAAATTAGAAAGATTTAGGAGGGTTCTATGTTGAATATATTGCTTTATTCTTGAACTACTTCGTTCCTACCCTAACATATGGTCATGAAAGATGGGTCATGATGACAGAAAGAACGAGATCACGGATACAAGGGGCCGATATGGGTTTCCTTTCCCTGGCTCATCTCTCTTAGGGATAAGTTAAGAAGTACAGTCATCCAGGAGGGTAGAAAGGAGCCAGTAGAGCTGGTAAGGATGCCACCTGGCCGCGTCTATTGTTTTCCAACCCAATTGAGATTTAACCACGCCCACAAATCAAGTGTGTACGACAACACTCAAAAACCCAAGGATTTAATGTTTATAATGCAAAAGGATAAATCAAATGTTTGGTACACTAGATGTATGAAGATAATGAACTGTCCCTGGTTACAAGGTTGAATTAATATCAGTTATACTCTAGCTTAGGAGAAAATAAAACCCATTTGGGCTGTTTGCCAGTGTTCCCGGGGAATTTTGAATTGAGCTGTCCCTTAAGTTATAGATACTATCTCTTTACGTATTAGTGATGGGAATTCCGGCTCTTTTAGGCTCGCCGGCAGTGCACTTTCCGTCACAGGAACACGCTTTGCTGGCGGCGAAAATAATCCCACCAGACTCCTTTGCCCCTCCAACAGAGGGATGTCCTTGTCCTTTTTCCTTTTCGTCATTTCAAGCGATAAAAACTCGATCTTCTCTCGAATTTTTTTTTTTTTGGACGCCCTCGGTTTGGGTTCAGGGCGTCAAATGACGGCAAGACGCCCCCCTGGCGGAAACGCTGCTGTTCACCATTCAGCGTTCTGCAGCAAGAGGAATATTTGTCATTCTCCGACAGTGTTGGGAAGTAATAAAGTTTACTCAAATACTATAATATTCATAATAATAATAGATTACATTTTTATATTGCCTTTCAAGAGACCCCAGGCGGCTTCACATGGTGTAAGGACAAACAAACAAACAAACATGTAGTACTTATGTACAAATACTTTATTCTATGGTGAATCATTATTAAAAGAAGAATGACTTTTACTCGGCTCAGCGTAAATAAGGTCTTCTTCCACATTATGGATATTACTTTATAATGCCTGCTAAGTTTTGTTGTTTTTCTACCATTTAATTGGCAAAGCTGTGCCTGAACGTCATCTAAAATAGCACATCAATAACATGAAAGCAAAGGTATGCAGGGAGGAGGTCCAGTTATCGAATCGCTTTTGCGAACTCTACAATGAATTGAAAACAAACATATTTCTTTTATAATGAGTCCCTGCTGAGTTTAACAATTGATGATATGAGTTTAGTTTAGTTTCTGCCTGTTAAAAGGTAAGAAATCTGCTTAGACATGAATCCACATTAGGGTGTCAGTGAGATGTATCAGCAAAGGTACGCAGGGAGGAGTTGAAGTCATCGAAATAATCGCTATTGAAGGCTCGACAATGACTCCTAATCTAACATCTAGTCATGTCTTTGCACCCTCAGCACAATAGACTCAGATTTCATCCACCGATTCCTCTCTTATCTCTTTCTCGCTTTCCCTGAGAACTAAATATAGACGTCAGCGCGGAGCAACCCTCTCGTCACTAAGCTCTCCGGTTTCTGCACCTTTCGGCGCCTTCTGCAGTTTGAAGAGACGCTAATCGAGCACGTTTTCTGTTTGTTTTTGTTGTCGGAAGCTGAGTTGGATTCTTAGTCGACAGGCATTGACACGGCATAGCTGTAACATCTTTCATTTGCCGGTTTAAAACAATCAACTCCAGCAATTCTAAACATAATTATCTATGCTGTCCACACCCCTCTCTCTCTCTCACACACACATGCATTGTCTTTGGGGGTGTGTCTGCAAAGGGAGGATAGGATTTCCAAACAGCTGTGACATAGTTGGAGTGTGAGTCCTTCTTTTAAACACACACGTGTAACCTAAAGTGTGGGAGGGGCTGTGTTTCCGGAAATGTCTTTCGTCGTTCAGCATTCCCATTTGTTATATGATATCCTCGGGCCATTAGATCGCATGGAAATATAGCTGTGTGTTCAAAAGTACGGGCAGAAATGGATACATATATCTCTGAGAAACAGTTCAATCATATTATAAACAATTTGTGATGATTGGAAACAGATATGGGAAGCTTAGCATCAACATGTGTGCAGATTTAAATACTAACCGGTTCCTGTTTTCGTGTCAGGTGCACACAAATGTCGCTAACAAGCTGGACTAAACAGGAAACTAATTGGAAAAAGAAAGGTAGGGTTAGCACTGTTGCTAACCAACGGGGAATAATAGATAAACAAATCAAGCCCGGTGACGTTGTTGTGTACCAATAATGATTTAATGACGGAAATGAAAGTCTTAAAAAATGCCATTCTTCTTCTTCTCTTCACTTTTCTTTGTATCTAAATGATAGATTAGGTGTCTGAATAAAACCGTTTCCAACTCTTTTTAAAACACCAATATAACAGATGATTATACACTTAAAAAAACATTGTGTAAAAATACTAAAAAAAGGGAAACGCATGGTAGTACAGGTGATACTATTTGTGCCAGATCCATCACAGTATTTGACGCTCTTACTCGATGTAGGATGTTGCCTTGAATGACTTCACTCTGCAAAAAAAATGACGTGGCATTGTTAAGGCGAGACACTATAGGTGAATAGGGAATTCTTTTTAACTTAAAGATATCAGCTAGAGATATCTCCAGTTAATTACTTTCATTAAGACAATTGTTCTTTGTATTACACGTTTTCTGAAATCGCATGTTTAAATATGCAAATTAGCCATAATCTCATTTAAATATGCGCATATTTTAATACATTTCAGGAACACGGAAATGACTCAGTTTCCTTGCGTAAAAAAAGCACATTTTTTAAACACATTGTTGTTCTTCCTCAGTCTTATTTGTTTCCTCATACTTTATATTTAGTGTTATATCCCCAGTATTGTCTCAAACCTAATAGAGGACATTGTTCCTCTGCAGCTGCTTGTTTTATTGCACCCGTTAGTCACTCTTTCCTCCGTTTACTCGTGTTTTCCAACTCATCTGCTCTGTTTTTACTCTGCAGCAGATGCACTAGTCTGTAATTAGTTCAGGTGCCGGCCACATCTGGCACAGCTTCACTTGATCCAACCTTGAATAACCTTCACAGTTTAAACATAGACAGCCCACAGTGTTGAACACTGCAGCACCTAAACTTGTCATTACTGCCCGACGTGAATCAATGGGAAAACCAGGAAACAGATGTGAAAGAAATCGACAGAATATTTGACCTAAACATTATGTCGTCTGTGTGAATTTAAATCGTAGTTTGAACTCTTTCCTTCCTGTCTCTTTTCCAGGTCCATTATCCAGATGTGGAGAGAGTGGAATGGCTGAATAAGGTACACACACACACACACACACACACACACACACACTCACACACACACACACACACTGCTTCTCTCTCACTGTACTTGTTCACAGACACGTCCGCTTCATAATGTCAGTGATATGTTTTAAAACACGCATGCCATTCCACCTTAAGTTCACATATATGCTAACTCGGCCACAGAAAGACACACACACACACACGGCACACACACACACACACACACACACACGGCACACACACGGCACACACACACAAACACTCTCACTCTCTCTCTCTGCTCTCGCCCACTGGTTTGCTCTACATTCGGCCCTGTTAGCCTGTTAGCCTGTTAGCTAGCACATAGGTATATAAATAGGCTCTCAATCTGGAGCTCTGCTAGACCCTGAACCAGATCTAACATTCCCCGAAGAGAGAGAGCTGCACTTCCTCACATATTGCCCTAAATTCAAACCTGTCTGGGAACCATTTATTCAAAAATTCTGCAGTAGGAATCGAGACATCATTAAAACTGAAAATGTAAAAGTGAGTAAAACCGTAATGTGGGAAATTAAGAAAAGCAGGACAGTGTGTCAGGTCAATTTACACCATATCTCTTTACTTTATATGTAATATATCTATATGTAATATATCTATATATATATATATATATATATTATATCCTGCACAATAATCAAGAAGTCACCTATATGATAACTGTTGTTCTTTTCCGCTTTTATCACATAATGGGGTTTGGAAACGAGGCTGGGTGACTTGAATGACTTAGTTCAAGGTCAAAAAAAGGTTGTGTTTCTTGTAAAACAAACACTTTAATTCAGTTTTTATTCAAGCTATATTTCTATATGTCATTATTTGTACAATGCTTTAGAAATACTGCATGTCATTATGCTAAAAAAGCTATTTGAATTGAGAGGAAAGGGAGTAATAAAGAAGCACTTAGTGTAAATGTCCAGGTGCACTTCCAGTCAGAAGCTAATGGGTGCTGATGATCCAAATCGGACAAAGTGCTCTTCAGGTTTACGGTTGTTTACAAACACAGAGAGTCTGATTTTAAGGGGCAATAATTAAATATGTATGCTCCTCTAAAGCAAAGTGTTTTTCTGCGTGGAGGTGAGGACTCCTCTTCCCTTCTTACTGCTTATCTACTGAAGTTGAACGTGAGGGATTTAAAGCCTGATTATTAGTCTGGTAATTTGTTAAATCGGCTTATTTTTTGCAAATGAATTACAATCGAAATGTGTGTGTAGCTGGCGGAGAGAGAGTCTCACAATACATGCACTAAAGTGGGCAAAAAGATCAATAGAAAGTGATAAAACAACAAATACACAATCAATCTAAATCAGAATACTTTGTTTATCTCGGGGTGAATTGGGTTTCTTGACAGTTGCTCCATTTAAGAATGAAATGGGATAAAGATATTTATAAAAACATGGGAATTTCAACTAAGAATGTGAAATAAAATACAATGGAATACATATATGTATATAAACATAAGAAAATAAGGTAAAATGTCTAATAAAAGATATAGTAAGAGAACAATATTTACATACAAATAACAATACATATGTTCAATATTCAATCAAATACAATCGAATACAAATATTTATAAAAATGACAATATGTAGTATTTAAATGACAATAAATACAGTGTTGTGTACTTTGTAGTATTTATATATTAATGCTGAATTACACAGTCAACACAATATTATCATATTTGTATTATAGAAACATATTATTAATACTCCTAACTGCAACACCCCTATAAACAAAGTTATAACAATTATATTTAATAACAATTTATTTGCAAGTTGTCCTTTTTTGGGAAGACATTTGACATTTAAAGGAATAAGGTTTCCTCCAGGACTAAAGCACCAAAACAAAACCACAAACAATGCTCGTGTTCAGTCAGATATTCAGTCCCTTTTTTCCTGAACAGCTGAGAGCCACTCCTCAAAGACATCAAGTCAGGTGACGATCGGCTCTGAGAACATTCCTGCTCTCACACATTCCCGTTGTCTCGACTGTAAGAATTCCTCAAAAGTTTTTCGAGGTCACTGAGCAGCAGAGGATGTCTTTGAGATCAAATGTGGCCATGGCTGCGGTAACAGATACATGACTAACTCCCATTATATTACTATAAAACTGCAAAAGATAGTGTGTGTGTGAGAAAGTTTGTAGTGATTTTACATCGGTTACTATTCCACAAGTCCATCTACATGTGTCCAGACTTGTCTATTTACTGTTTCTCATTCGAACCCCATTCCTATATTTGCAACATACTTTGGGATTTTAGCCTTTGCACACCATTTACATGCACCAAAACATACATTACATGTCACTTGTTAGACGCTTTTATCCAAAGCAACTAACATACTCAATACTGTGGACAATCCCCCACAGGAGCAATTTGGGTTGAAGTGTCTCAACGACATGCTGACTGCAGTGGGGTTTGAACCTGTGACCCCCTGATCCAAACACTAACGCACTAGTCCACTGCGCCACACGCCTCCTACACATAACACACTACAGGAAAGGGAAATAAACGCATAATGGGAACCCTTTAAAAGAAAACAAAGGAATTCTTACTTGGGTTGAAGTTAAGCCTGGGCAATAAATGAATAAAACATATTAATATCGTGACATAAAACTGAAAAAAAGTGATTTTCATTTTCTAAACTTAACCGACAGTTTTAGTTGTTCTATTATTTGCCTTTATCTGCTAAGCTAATATCTTTAAATAACTTGTGATTAATTATCATAATTCTACTCAAATATGTTGTGAAAGCCCCAATATTCAACCTTACAATATCGATATTGAGGTGTTTCATCTGAAATTGTGATTATTCTCCATATTGCTCAGACCCTAAATGAAGCGTGTAGAAAAACAAATGGTGTTGAAAAATGGTTTTATAAACACTGACAATGACACCAAGGATGTGACATCTACAACATGTCTTAGCTCCAGCTGTGCATCCACCATGTTGGGTTTAGAGGTGAATTATCCGTCTAATTCTTTCTTCCTCTCTCTTTCTTCTTCAGACGGTGAAGCAGATGTGGCCGTTCATCTCCCAGTTTGTGGACAAGCTGTTCAGAGAGACCATCGAGCCGGCAGTGCAGGCCGCAAACCCTCACCTCAGCTCCTTCTGCTTCACCAAGATCGACATGGGCGACAAGGTGACACTGAGACAAAGTCTGACACAATATAATAGAGAGGCTGTTAGCATCTCAAGGGCTTCCTTTACAAAAAGTCAATGAGATTTGTCATTTTGGATTATTGCAGAAAATAATCTCTGTGGCAAACACACATTTATGATATTTACGAGCTTTGTTCAGCAAGATAATCTCCAGATATTAACACCACTTTATGACGTAAGAAGTAAATGTTGTGCTATCAAGGAACTACAGCACGGTCACATGACTTCACGTCACCACCGCTAAGCTAAAGGCGGCTAATGTTGGGCTATAAAGGAACTACAGCATGGTCACATGACTTCACGTTACCACCGCTAAGCTAAAGGTGGCTAATGTTGGGCTATAAAGGAACTACAGCACGGTCACATGACTTCACGTCACCACTGCTAAGCTAAAGGTGGCTAATGTTGGGCTATAAAGGAACTACAGCACGGTCACATGACTTCACGTCACCACCGCTAAGCTAAAGGCGGCTAATGTTGGGCTATAAAGGAACTACAGCACGGTCACATGACTTCACGTCACCACTGCTAAGCTAAAGGTGGCTAATGTTGGGCTATAAAGGAACTACAGCACGGTCACATGACATCACGTCACCACTGCTAAGCTAAAGGTGGCTAATGTTGGGCTATAAAGGAACTACAGCACGGTCACATGACTTCACGTCACCACCGCTAAGCTAAAGGTGGCTAATGTTGGGCTATAAAGGAACTACAGCACAGTCACATGACTTCACGTCACCACCGCTAAGCTAAAGGCGGCTAATGTTGGGCTATAAAGGAACTACAGCACGGTCGCATTATTTCACGTCACCACCGCTAAGCTAAAGGCGGCTAATGTTGGGCTATAAAGGAACTACAGCACGGTCACATGACTTCACGTCACCACTGCTAAGCTAAAGGCGGCTAATGTTGGGCTATAAAGGAACTACAGCACAGTCACATGACTTCACGTCACCACTGCTAAGCTAAAGGTGGCTAATGTTGGGCTATAAAGGAACTACAGCACCACCGCTAAGCTAAAGGCGGGTAATGTTGGACGTGATGGCGTTTAGTCGTCTCATTTAGACTCTTGTTAGCAACCGCTGTTTTTAAATGAACTAGTGTGGTATTTACTGATGTATTTGATGTCTTAGAACAAAATGTTAAAGTTCCTCTCGGTTGAACCACATACTAAACCATTGTTTACTCAAACATTTCAGACTAGAGGTAATAAACCGGTATTTTCTTTGAGATTTCCTCACTTTGAGACGTTTTTATCTGTGTTTCTGCAGCCGCTGAGAGTGAACGGGGTGAAGGTTTACACAGAGAATGTGGACAAGAGGCAGATCATCATGGATCTGCAGATCAGGTACACACACTTCACCTCTCACACTCTCACACACTTTAACCCAAATACATTTTATTTTGTGAACGATAAGGCTTCTGATATTCAATATTTTACCAATTGTCAGCAATCCCCATGATAAGAAAAATAACAACGGTGGCTACAAGCAGCAAAGTAGTGCAAATACAATGTAGTCTCAAATGCACTTTTTACTCCTGTCAAATGACAAATTGTTGAAAATTAAGCTGTTTTAGGACATTTTTTAGTTGAAAAAAGGAAACTTTGTATAGATATTTCCTTGGTTTTGGTCTTTGCTTAGGGTATTTTGACACTGAAGTTAAAGATGAATACGGAAGAGGATTAGGGTCATGTGATTTCTTCTGAGAAAATAGTCATAATTCCCACTTTAATCTAAATAAATCTTCACTTTTGGTGAGAATTTTTCCTCCTTTTGAATCCTCTTCCGTAGAAAAACACTCATTTTAATTTAAAAATTAAATTGTCTCTGCTTCCGTTTGTCGAGAACAAATGCAAACCTTTAAGACATGAATGTACAACACATTTCTATTTCCTTCTTCCTTACTTCACAATTACCATCATTTAATCTATTTGTAATCTTTCCAGTTTTGTGGGGAATACAGAGATAGACGTGGACATCAAGAAGTACTACTGCAGAGCGGGAATCAAGAGTATTCAGGTAGGACTGCAGCGGGGGATATATCATGTGAAGTGCTATTAACATTCTCAATGCCATGTCATGATGTAGGTTTGTTAGCCAGGGTGACGTAGAATACAAATGGTCTCACTAAGAAGAGGTAGGTCACTTCAAGTGTTCAAACTATTAGACGATCATCAAAATAAGAGAAATAATTCACTTTTTTCCTGTTTTTAATCATTTTAAATGTAATATTTTTGTCTTTAGGGTTGTTGTTTGTTAGACAAGCAACACATACATCAACAATTAGGATCCCTGCACTTGTAATTGACTTTTTTTTAAACTATTTTAAATGAACAATCAATAAATCAGAGGAACAATCAACTGATTACGTGATATTGAAAATATGTATTGGTTGCAGCCGTAGTCAGATTTGAATTTGTGGAATAATTGTATGTATATATATATATATATATATATATATATATATATATATATATATATATATATATATATACAATAGAATAAATAAAACTAGTAAATTAATACTCAAAGTAATTCAGTTTGCATGCATTTAAACTTGAACTGCACATGCATATTTAGTTATGAGGATAAATAGGTACAAAAAATTGACAGACATTCAGACTGGTTTTCCATATAAAGACAATTATCCAATTATCAATTCTAAGTTGCCTGATACTGTACAGCTCGTTTCAGCTGTATACAAGAGTTAAAATAACAACAATCCAGCCATTAAAACAAACAAAAACCCTGAATAAATTCATACATTAACCCAGATTACCCCACGTAAAATGTCCTTTTCCTCATAATCAAGGCTCAGTAACAGTCATCATGTTATGTGACATATTTTCCTTGATGGTTTGAGAAGAAAAAGCAACTCAGACTCAGATATCATTAAAACGCTCATAATCTCCTCTTTAAGCAGTGTGTACAACTCAAAATCTGCTTTTGAGTTAACCCAGGATCCCCCACTTAAATTAAAATCTGATGTCCTTTTCCTAAGTACAGTAGCCTGTGATGTACCATGTTATGTGAAAGGATGGGTATCATTAAGGTTTTAACGGTACTACTACTTTTATCGATCCGGTCCTTTAACGGTACTTGTATCGGTTCTTTTAGAGAACAAAATAAGGTAAACTAACTAAACAAATTGTGAACAAAACTAACATTGCTTTTTATTTAAATTAAATAAATAATATTTCACATCAAAAGAAACAACAATGTTTTAACAAATCGTATTAAATAATCTGATGCCAGAATAGCTGACAAAATAAATAACTCAGTTACCTCTAATCATCAACCCCGTCTGGATGTGGTGCACTTTTGCTAAATGTTTAAACAAATTGCTCGTGTTACCGCCCTGACATGCTCAACTCTTATTCCTCTTTTGGTAACGAGCATTGTCCACATCGAGACGGGCAAAGTTTAACCACACCTTGGAGCGCGTTCTCTCCCCCATCTCGTGTGTGTGTGTGTGTGTGTGTGTGTGTGTTGCATGCATGTAGCAGCCGCGTGTGTAAACTGCCCCGCCCCCTCGCACACAGACGGGGGAGAGAGAGAGATCTCTCGTCTGGATTGGAGAGATCGAAAATACATCATATTCATAGACGCATGTTAGAAACTAGTTGGCGACACTAAGACTGCGATATAATGTTTCTGTAGCAATAATACATATGACATATATGTTTTAAATGTCTCCAGTACCGATAAAAACACTGATAACGTTGGAGCTTAACGGCGCATAAAACACACGTGATGACGTCACCAACGAATCGCCGACTGAAGTAGTTGGCAACTAATTTGGTCATCGATTTTAATCGATTAAGTCGATTAGTTGTTGCACCCCTAAGTAGTAATATAATACATGTTATTTATATAGCGCTTTTCCCGGTGCTCAAAGAGCAGCTGCGTGTGTATAAACTGCCCCGACCCCTCGCACACAGACGAGAGAGAGAGATCTCTCGTCTGGATTGGAAAGATGGAAAATACTAAATAATCATAATATATAATGTAATATAATGTTTATGTAGCAATAATACATATGAGATATTTTTTAAATGTCTCCAGTACCGATAAAAAGACCGATAACGTCGGGGCTTAACGGTACCACGGTCTTTAATAATTCAGCCCCGGGGCCCGTTTAATACCGGGGCTCGGTACCCATCCCTAGGTATGTGACATATTTTCCTTGATGATTTGAGAAGGAAAGCAACACAGATATCATTAGAAAGCTCATCATCCCCTCTTCTTAACTCTAAATCTGATCAGTTCTTTCAGACAGATGTTATCATCGACAGCAGCTCTCATTTTCTTTGACCCCTGTGTGACCTCTTGCCTTCTGCAGAAACACTTTTACATAATGTGTTGACACAGGCCTGATAAAGGAGCTGTTATCCTCTCCGCTGCATCAGGCCATATTTGCTGTTCAGAGATCAGAGAAAGTCAGCGCAGTCAATATTTGCTTTTAAACTGTACAGCTGCAGTGTGTCGGCTTTTAGAGACTGCTGAAGAAATAAGTAGTTACAGCTGAGCTTGAATGATGAGTCACTTTCTGAGACTTTCTCACGCCACTTACTCCAGAACAGGACTGCTTCTTCTGTTAAAACCATGGTGGACTATAATGAACAACATTCACTTATTTATATTAATTTTAGCAGGATATGAAAATAAGCTTTCTCATGTAGTTAAATATATAGCTTTTATTAGTAGATATGAACTTACTCCCCTCGTTTTGTTTAGACATTTTATTTATCTTGCCTTATTTAAGATTTTCTGCCGCTGAAACGATCTCCAATGTCCTTCATTTTATTATTTTTATTGTACTAAGTTCAATTTAATGATACCTTTACTTCACATTTGTTTTACTCTATTTACTTAATATTAATTAATTTAATTAATTTAATTTATTGTATTTATTTTTATTATCTATTTATTCATGTATTTTATTATTTTAAAGTATTTATTATTATGTTTTTATTTATGCATTTATTTTATTTTTCTTACATTTTAATATTACTACTTTTCCTAATCTAATTTCTTCTACCTCGGGTTAAAATGCATCCTGACACACACAATCTCCTGCCCATGATTTATAAACCTTCAGGAAGGAGGTTGGTGTGTATAAACAAAATGAAAGGCTATCTTAAATCTCTCCACTGCGCCCATTTTGATGATCTTAATGTTGGTATTTGATTACTCACAGTGAGTTACGACCAAATTTGGTGCTGCAGACGGGCAGGCTGCATATCTGAGCTCTGAGTCACTGACAGAGACGTCTTCAAGTGGAAAACATTCACTGATGTTACTTCAGAATCAGAATACCTTTTATTATTCCCACAGAGGGTGTGTGTGTGTGTGTGTGTGTGTGTGTGTGTGTTGTGTGTGTGTGTGTGTGTGGTGTGTGTGTGTGTGTGTGTGTTGTGTGTGTGTGTGGTGTGTGTGTGTGTGTGTTGTGTGTGTGTGTGTGTGTGTGTTGTGTGTTGTGTGTGTGTGTGTGGGTGTGTTGTGTTGTGTGTGTGTGATGTGTGTGTGTAGTGTGTTGTGTGTGTGTTGTGTGTGTGTGGTGTGTGTGATGTGTGTGTGCTGTTGTGTGTGATTGTGTAGTGTGTGTGTGTGGTGTGTGTGTGGTGTGTGTCGTGTGGTGTGTGTGTGTGTGTGTGTGTTGTGGTGTCTGTGTGCTGTGTGTGTGTGTGTGTGTGTGTGATGTGTTGTGTGTGTCTGTGTGTGTGTGTGTGTGTGTGTGTGTGTGTGTGTGTGTGTGTGTGTGTGTGTGTGTGTGTGTGTGTGTGTGTGTGTGTTGTGTGTGCTGTGTGTGTGTGTGTCCTGCCTCCGAACCTACATAAGGAATAGCAGCTTAGAAAAAGATGATAAATGGCCTTACATGATATGTTATGGGACTTTTTAAAAAGACAATGAACATAAATACGTTTCAGTGAGATATTAAACATCACTAAGGACTAACTGACTAATTCATAATGTGTTGTATTATGTCCTCTGCAGCTCCATGGGACGCTGAGAGTGGTGATGGAGCCTCTGCTGGGAGACATGCCTCTGATCGGAGCGCTGTCCGTCTTCTTCCTCAAGAAACCAGTGAGTATCTTTTTAGTCTTAAAGGGGACCTATCATGCAAAATGCACTTTGTGATGTCTTTTATACATAAATATGTGTCCCTGGGAACTCACGCAGCATCAGAAAATAAAACCCTCTCTCTTTTCCTCCGTACCCAAATCTCTAAAAACGGGGCTACAACGGAGCTGATACAGATTTGCGTCCGATATGACGTAATATCGGAAATGTGGACCCACGGCCCTATCAGAAACGTTGCTATCAGAAACAATGCCCGACTGTTTTGGACGTAATATGGTCGGTGTTTCCATTAGCATCGCTAACACTCAGAGCTAACCTGTACTGGAGAGCATGTGTGTGAAGAAGCAGGAAATAAAAAGGAACTCACCTTGTGGTATAACCGGCAAGAGAGAAAGCCTTTGAGCTCCATACTGTTTCAGAAATAATCCTTGATAATCCATGATATGGCGTTTCATCACCGCAGTATTTAGTTTAGACAGTAGCTGCCGGGTCCCGCATGAGCTCAGACCCCCTTTTTTTTTTTTAAAGCTTTATGCCCCAAATCAGCACTTTTGAAACAGGAAGTGAAATAGAGGGATATGAGGCATGGCTAGAATGGGTGATCTGTTTGGTATTTTGAGCAAAACACTTCATAGACATGTTTTTTAATATATTTGTATATATCTGAGACCTATGCTATTGCCTAAAAATAGCATGATAGGTGACCTTTAAAGACAAAAAAACAGGTGTGCAGGTTGTCCATTTTTTGTTTTAACCCCCCCCCCCCCCTCCCCCCTACAGAATAAGACAAGATTAATGGTACAAAAACATTTAAAATGATAGACAAACATATCAGAATCAGAAACAGGTTTATTACCAGGTAGGTTGAGACGTACGAGGAATTTGACTTATCAAAGAACACAGATAGAGAACTATTTTAAGAACACTGTAGTAAAAAAAGACTATGGTTGAAACCACAGCACAAAAAACTAAAACAACAAAAAAAACATGTTAGTCATCATGGTTGACTTTAGTAAATCTGTGTTCTAATTCAGTTTAACAATGATGAATCAGTTAGGGAAGAGTACACAGTTTCAAACTTTTCATGTACGTTAAAAATGGTTGCACCAGTGAGTATCTTTGACCTCTTTTCTCTGGTCTTCTTTATCAGTGCATTCCTCGCTCACTGCTCTCTTCCTTCCTCTGATTCTGCACGTCTTCCAGATGCAGCCTTTGATACGGGAACACTAGGGCTGCACGATTACACGGTTATGCACGAAACTACTTTGCGATTATTATCTTGACTGGTTTTGCCATTGGAGGGATTGATGTATTATGTATTTATTTCAACAAGGACCATGCATACAGATACATTAATCTCAGCAAAGAGAAGACATGAATTATGCCAGATGTTTAGCTAGTAGCTCATTTCCATCTGCAGTCCTTAGGTCCTTATGGTCATTTTTTGCATCATTATTCTCACTTGTTTAAGAGGATCTGTATTGAACAAAGATATTTTATAAAGTCTGTAGAATACGATTTGTAGACTGGGATATCTATGCAGTTAATTCACAAACATTTGAATATTGCACTAGCCCAGATCGCCATTTTGATTCCATTTCAATGAATGTTGCAGCCCTAACCGGTTCCCATATACATGGCACGCGTCTCTGTGTGTATGTGTGTATGTGTATGTGTGTGTGTGTGTGTGTGTGTGTATGTGTATGTGTGTGTGTGTGTGTGTGTGTGTGTACCATCAAGATCTTTAAACAGACATGTGAAATAGTTTCCTCTCCTCAGAAAATTAGCATATTCTATATTTTGATCTGTCATTTGCATATGGCCCGAGTAGACGTCTGTGCACAGGTCTTAGGATAAAGCACACGTTAACAAAGAGAGAGGGTTATTATTTCTCTACAAGAAGATTATTATTTAAGGTGACATTTTTGAGTCATCGTTTTTTCCGATATGAGTTGTTCTGATAAATCCCCCGCGCTGCTTTCTTTGTCTTCCTGTGCCAGCGTGGCAGAACGGCATTGTGGGTAACCGTGGTCTACATCTAGAGCGCTAACTAGGCCACAGAAAGACACACGCACACACACACACACACACACGCACACGCACACGCACACGCACACGCACACGCACACGCACACGCACACGCACACGCACACACACTACCATTCTAAGAAGGGAAATATTGTACCACTAAAAAACAGGATGTTTTGATGTGGATTAACACATTTTTAAGTACCCTAAATAATGTATGAACTAACAGCACACTATTGGATGCAATTTAGTTTGTTTTTTTGTCATTTATTTCACATTGTCAGCTTCTGAAATTATTTTAAGTTTTTGTTTATTTTTGATAACTTGTCTAATAAATGAGTATTCTTACTCCATAAACTATAAGTACATATGATCCCACTTACCTAAATACCTTTTGCAACACAGTACTTCCTTCTAATAGAGTATTTCTACAGTGTTGTACTAGTACTTTTACTTCTAAGGATCTGAATGAAGGGATCTTTGGGAAGCTGTCTTCATTTCTGCAGTTTCATGCGTCACTTTTCCTCATCAGCTGTACAACTGCTCCCAGTACTTCACAATTTAAGCCTCTTTCAAAACCCTTTTTCATTCAACATTGCAGTCACTCTTAATCTGTAACACACACACACACACACACACACACACACACACACACACCATGTTTACATCACTTCAGGGGACATTACATTGACTTACATGTATTTCCTGGAGACTTATCCTAACCCTAACCATAACCAACACATGCCTAACCCTTACACACACACACAGACACACAGACACACACACACACACACACACACACACACACACACACACACACACACACACACACACACACACACACACACAGAGAGACGCGTGCCATTCCACCTTAAGTTCACATATATGCTAACCCTGACAGCTGGCACGAGGCCCGCGCTCCTCTCATGGTGCCTGCTGTTATTTTAAGATTCCCAACATGAGTCTGGTGATATGGACCTTACAGTTGGTGTGATGAAGATTACAACACCTGGAACAATGGGAGAAATTACATTCAACTATAATACCTTTTTTATTAGTCAGTTTAAAAACTATGTGAAGATTATTTTGGAGATTTGAGATTAAAATGAGAATTCTGAGAAACAAATAATTCCAATTTTCTTCAGAAAATCGCAGAATTCTGACATTTCTCTCCTGAAATGTTAGGATATATTACTTTAACAACATCTGGAACCTTATTTTATACAGACAGGTTACGTTTTCTGTGTTTACTGGGTTTTTCAATTTGGTTTTTTTTCCAGTCTTCTTACTGCAAGTCTTTCCCACTTTCCTGCAAAGTGTGTGTTGCTAAAAAAAGGAATCCATATCACCTCCATCTATTTCAAGTAATATAAGGAGACCTAACTTTCGTTTGATAAGAAACACTTTTCTTATTTTGACTTCTCCTTATCCACTGTTGTATCTAATAGCTGTTAATTTGTTTATGCAATGTCATTTACAAAGTACCTCAGCACAGACTTCCTGTTTGTTTGAGAGCTAACCCAATCAGCTCTATTGATTAACGGGTCGATTGAGTTACAGTCGGATCTGCAGAGTCATGGTGCCGGCACTGAGGAGCTGAGAATATGTAGAAGAAAAATCATTGAGATTTAGTTCAAAAGCTAAAACTTAAAATCACTTTTCTTAATGTTTCTGCTGCAGCTGAGAGTTGTTGTATTTATTTATTTATTGAAGTAGATTTAAAAATAGTTCCTTATAATTATGTTGGAATATATTAAGCTTTTTTTTATCTGATTGATGCGATTAGATTAATTGTCCATATTAAATCCTGACGTTTTATAATTGAAATACTGTAAATGTAACTATTTTACTTAACAGAATATTGCACACACAAACAAAAATATTACAGGCCATTAAATGTGTTATGAATACTTTAAAACCTAAGTTGCTATCAGGGGAAAATCCACCATTTGATAGGTAGTGAAATGATTCATACAAATCCTCAAATATGCAAATGTGATGTTTCTTTCCTACAAAAAAATCTCAAAAATAGTCACCAGAAACCTTAAACATTTGTGAATAATTTTTCTGCAACTTCTTAATAAACCTATTTGATCGTCACATTAAAGACTCATCTGGTGTCAAAACAAAAGTCTAAAAGTGTGTTTATGTAATTGTGATTTCCATTAATATGTTTAACAATGAGAGAGGTCATGTAATATACATGTTAAACACTTTATGTATTTACTTATTTTCCTTTTTTCTTCATCTATTATCAAAATCTTAATCATATTTCTTCTCTTTTTCAGTTGCTGGACATCAATTGGTCGGGACTCACAAACATGCTGGATATTCCTGGTGTCAGGTGTGTGTGTGTGTGTGTGTGTATTACTATACTTGTGGGGACCTAAATCTGTTTACACAGTCACGTGTGGGGACTCGCCTTCCTTATGGGGACATAATGGAGGTCCCCATAAGGGGAATCATTAATTTTAGGGTGAAGACTTGGTTAGGGTTAGGTTAAGGTTAAGGGTTAGGCATGTGTTGGTTATGGTTAAGGTTAGGACAAGTCTCCAGGAAATGCATGAAAGTCAATGTAATGTCCCCTGAAGTGATGTATACATGGTGTGTGTGTGTGCATCCTTTTGAAAGTGTATAACCATTTGCATGTCTGTGTGTCATTTGCTGGTCGCTGCATCCATTGATTTTACCTTGAATTACTCAGTTTACTTTGTTGTAAAGAACAAAGGTGCACACACACTCTTTAGTATTTTTTGCAGCGTGTAGAAGAGAAAATCTTTCCTGACAGAATAAAGCTGGTGCTTTGAAGAGACGTTCCCAGTGGACCCACTCTCTTACTGCTGCTGAAATTATATTACGTTTACCAGCGGATCACAGAATGGATTTCCCCACTAAGTATCGGTATTTACTATTTATAGTAACGTGATTATAAAAGTGGAGCCGCCGCAGACTGAGTTGTGATGTCGGATAGATTATGCAATTCCAGACGACATCAAATACATCAGTAAATACCCCACTGCTGAATTTTAAAAACGGTGGTTGCTATCAAGTGTCTAAATGAGACGACTAAACGTCATCACGACCAACATTAGCCGCCTTTAGCTTAGCGGTGGTGACATGAAGTCATGTGACCGTGCTGTAGTTCCTTTATAGCCCAACATTAGCCGGCTTTAGCTTAGCGGTGGTGACGTGAAGTCATGTGACCGTGCTGTAGTTCATTTATAGCCCAACATTAGCCACCTTTAGCTTAGCGGTGGTGACATGAAGTCATGTGACCGTGATGTAGTTCATTTATAGCCCAACATTAGCCGCCTTTAGCTTAGCGGTGGTGACATGAAGTCATGTGACCGTGATGGAGTTCCTTTATAGCCCAACATTAGCCACCTTTAGCTTAGCAGTGGTGACGTGAAGTCATGTGACCATGCTGTAGTTCCTTTATAGCCCAACATTAGCCACCTTTAGCTTAGCAGTGGTGACGTGAAGTCATGTGACCATGCTGTAGTTCCTTTATAGCCCAACATTAGCCACCTTTAGCTTAGCGGTGGTGACGTGAAGTCATGTGACCATGCTGTAGTTCCTTTATAGCCCAACATTAGCCACCTTTAGCTTAGCGGTGGTGACATGAAGTCATGTGACCGTGATGTAGTTCCTTTATAGCCCAACATTAGCCACCTTTAGCTTAGCAGTGGTGACGTGAAGTCATGTGACCATGCTGTAGTTCCTTTATAGCCCAACATTAGCCACCTTTAGCTTAGCAGTGGTGACGTGAAGTCATGTGACCATGCTGTAGTTCCTTTATAGCCCAACATTAGCCACCTTTAGCTTAGCGGTGGTGACGTGAAGTCATGTGACCATGCTGTAGTTCCTTTATAGGCCAACTTTAGCCACCATTAGCTTAGCGGTGGTGACGTGAAGTCATGTGACCGTGCTGTAGTTCCTTTAGCTTTTTACTTCTAAAACCATGAATTGATTTTAAAATAATCCTGCTGAGTATCGAATCATTCATTTGCAACAGATCTTATTTTCTGCTATATTCCAAAAGCCAATGGAATAATCCCAAGCTTTTTGTCAGGGAGATGCTAACTTCCATGTCGGCCTACAAAAATACATCATCATCCATCACTCTTTTGCCAATTATTTAGCCAAGAAGCTAGCTCGGCTAATAACAACAGTGTGTATTTTTTAAACCTGACTTTTCCCCATATTGTTGTACATGCAACAGGAGACATCCTATAATAACACAGAGTGCTGCTAACACACTGCTAGCTGGTTTCCTCTGTGTTGACCTGTTGCTGTATCCTGCTGATTCACTGTTTGTTTTCAGCAGAGAAACACTGCGGTTTCCAAAAGACTCCGCCCTGTGAAATGTAGCTTTCCTTGTTTGACGAGTTTGTGTGAAATCACCAGTGTGTGTCTGTGTGTGTGTGTGTGTGTGTGTGTGTGTGTCTGTGTCTGTGTCTGCTGAAGCCCTGCCCTTGCCCCACCCTCCTCTCTCTCTCCCTCCCTTCCTGTGAGAGCCCTCATTATTTCCTCAGTGAGGATTTGCGTTTTTCGTTCTGATGCAGCAGGAAATCCTGATGTGTTTAGTGAGTCAGCAGACCAGGAATTAACTGAGATCAACTTTAGAGTCTGATACACAGACCCAGGATCAGCTCTTTCAGGGGGGATTTATTACAGTAGTGAGGCAGAGCAGCTGTGTTTTAATACACGATGCTGCTGCCCTCTAGAGGAAATTAGGGTTAACATCAATGCATACTTACATATGAAAACAGATATTCTTTATTATATCCACAACGGGGAATTGTACATTGTTACAACAGAGAGACAAGCACATGTTAGTAAAATCACATTAAATAAAATCACAAAATATTGCAGTATTTCAAGTGAAAGTATAAAACATCACAAAACCTGTGGATTTAAAACATGGTTTGAAGTGAAAATACATTTGATAAAAGTCATTAACTTTCGTTTTGTCTTTAAAATATCAGAACATTTTGGAACATTTTGGTTTCTTAATCTTATATCTTGTCTGTCTCGAACCCAAAGAAATGCACTTCTTTGAAATGTAAAAAATAAACTGGAAATCTCAATATATTTGAGTCCCAAAAAAACTGCAATTTCTGCCCTTTATGAAAAAGTACTTTGAACTTTGAATTAATCATTTTTGTTTTGTTTTAAATATCTTGTTACTCTTTATAATTGTGCTCCTCCTCCTCCTCCTCCTCCTCCTCCTCCTCCTCCTCCTCCTCCTCCTCCTCCTCCTCCTCCTCCTCCTCTTCCTCTCTCAGTGGTTTGTGTGATAACATCATCCAGGACGTCATCTACAGCTTCCTCGTTCTTCCCAACCGGATCACCATTCCTCTGGTGGGAGAGGCCCAGCTGGCCCAGCTCCGCTTCCCCATTCCCCAGGTAACACACTCACTCACTCACACTCACTCACACTCACTCACTCACTCACTCACACTCACTCACTCACTCACACTCACTCACTCACTCACACTCACTCACACTCACTCACTCACTCACTCACACTCACTCACTCACTCACTCACTCACACTCACTCACTCACTCACACTCACACTCACTCACTCACTCACTCACACACTCACTCACTCACTCACTCACTCACTCACTCACTCACTCACACACAGTCGTATGCTCATAATATCAATACATTTAGGCACATTTAAGTTTGACACAAACACACACTCACTCACTCACTCACTCACTCACACACTCTCTCACACACACACTCACACACTCACTCACTCACTCACTCACACAGTCGTATGCTCATAATATCAATACATTTAGGCACATTTAAGTTTGACACAAACGCACACTCTCATACACACACACACACTCTCACACACACACACACACATACACACACACACACACTCTCACTCACACTGTCGTATGCTCATCATATCAATACATTTAGGCACATTTAAGTTTGACTCACACACACACACACACACACACACACACTCACAACAGACATTTTACAGTGTCATAGTTTTCAGACAATAAGTAAATTAATGAATCTGTTAATTGGCAGAGAATTATTTCACAAAACAATTGGTTGTTTTATATCATCTTCTGTTATCTGTATTCTGTGTATTTACATTTAAATGTTCGCATATGGGTCGAAAAATCAAAATAAACTAAACCAAATGTATCAAACTTCCTATTTTTTGAGTGAATTGCTCATCCTGTCTCAAGAAGCAAGCAGAAAAACTGCTAAATTACAAAAAATGTGTACTTATTCCTGCATTTTACTACTACCATTGTGTCACTTGCACTATTTTCTTGCACTGTTCTTTTAATATGAAGTATTCTTGTTGATTTGGAGGCGCCTCGAACTTCAGATTTGGATTGCCAACAACTCCTCTGTAACCATTGTGCAATTGCCAATAAAGCTTTTGATTCTCTAATCCTCAGGGCGTGCTGAGGATCCACTTCATCGAGGCGCAGGAACTGCTGGGTAAAGACAAGTTTTTGGGCGGGCTGATCAAAGGGAAGTCCGACCCGTACGGTGTCATCAAGGTGGGAACGCAGCTCTTCCAAAGCAAAGTCATCCACGAGACCGTCAACCCCAAGTGGAACGAAGTGTATGAGGTAAAGTCTGACAGAGGATCCGTACTGTAGAGTGGTGCAGTGACGCGTCCTAAAACCAGGAAGTGAGTCAGCATTATTTTCACCACTTCCTGTTCCCTCGTCTCAGAGCCAATGGGATCTCTCCATAGGGTTTTGGAAACTATCTGGAACTAAGGTCTGTGGTTGAGACACATTGAAGAGACGGATCACGTTTTGTTCTACGACATTAAATCCATCAGCAGTGACCTCACTGGTGGTTTCTGAAGAGTTGACGTGTCTGAAAAACGATGGTTGTTACCAAGTGGCTGAATAGGACTACAGAAGTCCTGGAGGCCGTTGTACGTCATTACGCCGAACACGTGAACACTCCCGCTAAGTTTGTTTCTGTTCTGCTTGAAAGCAAGTACCTGCCTCCTGCTAACTGTTCAAACAAACGCTTCAACTCGTACCATTTAGAATCTGTGTGTTTGAATATGGATCTTAAGTTGGCGTGACGTTGAAGTCGTGCTGCTGTACTCGCCTGTAGTTCCTTTATAGCATAACGTTAGCATTTTGCTTCTGGCGACTAGATTTAAGATTAGAACATTATAAAAGTAGGGTAGACATGAGGAGATTATCCGGCTGAACAAAACGTGCATTTATCAAACAGGTTCGTTTTCCACAGATCTTATTTCCAGCTATTTTTCAAAATCTTATGGAGAAATCCCGTTGCTTTTTTGTCGAGGGAACCAGCAGCTTACTTCCGGGTAAATACGTCATCCCTGCACCGCTCTATTAGAGTTAAAATGGGGGGGGGGGAAATGACGTTATACTTTGTTGTTGAGGCAAGACGAGTCTATTTTTACAGCACAAGGCAATTAAAACATTAAAAGCCATAGTGCAAACTATCATCAAAAAGACAAGAAATTACTACTGTAATTAAAACAATATGAAATGGAATAAGACAGGTATAACATGCTTAAGCTATTGTGTAGTGTTGGGTATAAATAGGTATTTGATTTAAATATGTATTTTATTCATCTTTGGGTCATTTTTTGTAATTTAAAAATAGAATACAAGGAAAAAATTTAATTGAAAATAAATATATATTTACAGTATATAAACATAAGAAGTGAAAGTAAAAAAGAGCACATTGTACGACAGTATTTAACAATAATAAATATTCATCCATCCATCTTCTCCCGCTTATCCGTGGTCGGGTCGTGGAGGTATCAGTTCCAGCAGAGAGCCCCAAACGTTCCTTTCCCTGGCCACATCAACCAGCTCTGACTGCGGGGTCCCAAGGCGCTCCTGGGCCAGCGAAGAGATATAATCCCTCCACCTGGTCCTAGGTCTACCCCTCGCTCTCCTCCCAGCTGGACGTGCCTGGAACACCTCCCTAGAGAGGCGCCCAGGTGGCATCCTTACTAGGTGCCCGAACCACCTCAACGGGCTCATTTCGACGCGAAGGAGGAGCGGTTCAACTCCGAGTCCCTCCCAGATGACTGAACTTCTCACCTTATCCCTAAGGGAGACGCCAGCCACCCTGCGGAGGAAACCCATCTCGGCCGCTTGTATCCGCGATCTCGTTCTTTCGGTCATGACCCATCCTTCATGACCATAGGTGAGGGTAGGAACGGAAATGGCCCGGTAGACAGAGAGCTTTGCCTTCTGGCTCAGCTCTCTGTTCGTCACAACGGTGCGGTAAAGCGACTGCAGTACCGCTCCCGCTGCTCCGATTCTCCGGCCCATCTCACGCTCCATTGTTCCCTCACTCGAGAACAAGACTAAATAATAAATATGTGTATTAATATTTATAAAGACATTATTAATGCTCCAGATCATTCCTATGGATCTACAGAAACAATCCAGGTTATACAGCCTAAGTATTGTCCATAATTGTCCGTTTTAAATGGAGTTTTATTTGTATTTTCAGGCCTTGATGTACGAACACGCTGGACCAAACATGCTGGAGCTCGAGCTGTTCGATGAAGACACGGATAAAGACGACTTCCTCGGGAGGTAAATGTTCAAACTTATTAAAAAACGTATTGGAAAGTGAAACCCCTCTCTTTCCCCCTGCTCTGTTTCTCTCTCTTTATAACCTCTGATCTTTGTTAAACTCAAAACACAAGCCTTATATATTCTGTCTCTGAAAACGTTATGATATTTAAATACTTTGCATGAATTAAGGCAAGATTTAAAAGTGCTGACACGACTCTAATGTGTGCAGCAGAGAGGAAATAATAATGATAATAGTTTCTAGAGTATCATTGTGTTTTTCTCTCGTCTTATACTAATCATATTCGTCACACTAATAGGATTTCACACTCCATTAACCTGAAGCTGCCTCACAGCGACTCTTACTGGGGTTTAGTGTGTGTGTGTGTGTGTGTGTGTGTGTGTGTGTGTGTGTGTGTGTGTGTGTGTGTGTGTGTGTGTGTGTGTGTGTGTGTGTGTGTGTGTGTGTGTGTGTGTGTGTGTGTGTGTGTGTGTGTGTGTGTGTGTGTGTGTGTGTGTGTGTGTGTGTGTGTGTGTGTGTGTGTGTGTGTGTGTGTGTGTGTGTGTGTGTGTGTGTGTGTGTGTGTGTGTGTGTGTGTGTGTGTGTGTGTGTGTGTGTGTGTGTGTGTGTGTGTGTGTGTGTGTGTGTGTGTGTGTGTGTGTGTGTGTGCTAAATGTATTGATATTATGAGCATACGACTGTGTGTGATTGTGTCTTTGAGAGTGTGTGTGATGAGTCGGCACTTATAGAAAGTTCGGTGTGTTTTGTTTTTCAGTCTGATGATCGACGTGGCCGAGCTGCAGAAGGAGCAGAAGGTGGACGAGGTAATCTGCAGATTTTACTCTCAAATTTAAATAGGAGACTTTTAGTGAAATATTTGCTCCTCTGTGCTCATTACTGTCATTTACTTTCTTTACACGTACAAGAGGTTACCTGTCACTCAAACCCTGTGTGGAAAACCCATTAGTATTGCATTTTATGTTGATAAAAGTAGAGTTTTTGCAAGTTAAATTCAGTTGTTCCCTCCTGTTAGCCATGATGCATAATAGTGACGACACTCCCGATGAATTGAGACGCTAGAGAGACTAAACTTGACTCATTGCGATTCAACAAAGTGTTTAATAAAGAGAGTAAAACAAACAATAAAGAGGTATGATGACCAAAGATTGTCGGCTTCTTATATAACATCATCTGATAAAGGAGATTATCAACATTTTTTTTTTGGAGGATGTTTTAATGTTATAACCATCATTTTAAAAAGTGTCATTAAAATAATTTGTGGTGAAGAGTAGCAAGAACAGTTGTTTTGATCTGTAAAAATATTGCCTTCACTTCTAAAATCCATATATTGTTATTTATGAGATATAATTGAATGCAAGAAGGGTGGACATTGTGTATAAAAAGTATTCTGATATTAACAATAAGACCTTTTTTCTGTGTCTGCAGTGGTTTGTGATAGAAGACGTGGCGACAGGGAAGATTCACCTGAAACTGGAGTGGTTATCTCTGCTGCCCTCACCGGAGAAACTGGACCAGGTACTTCATTTAATGAGGAAAACTCATTTAAATTATTAATATTAAACCTAATTAACTTTATAATTATACTTAACTTAACACAATTAGTAGAAGCAAGTAGAATTTACTTTTTTGCTTATATATTTACTTAGAAGATGGAGGAATACCGGTTCTTGTAGGTAATCATACATCCTGTCATGTACAAAATACTGAGTTTTTTTCTCAAAATGTTGATTTTTTTCTGAAAATCCAGATTATTTTCTAAAATCTCCAAATTCTGACTTTTTTTCAAAATCTCAAAATTCTGACTTTTTCTCAAAATTCTGACTTTTTCTCAAAATTCTGTATTTTTACTCAAAATCTAATTTTTTTTACTCAAAATCTCAAAATTCTGACTTTTTTCTCAAAATTTCAAAATCCTGACTTTTTTTCTCAAAATTCTGACTTTTTCTGAACATATGTCTATCTCCATAGGAAGAGGAAGAGTACATTCAGTATTTTCCCAACAATAAAACCATGCACATGTAAGCTCTTCCAATGAGGCTTTGCAGGATACATTTACCCCCAAAAACTAACCAGTGTCTCTTCCTCTTCCTCTCAGGCGCTAACGAGCATTAAAGCTGATCGCAATCAGGCGAACGACGGCCTCTCGTCGGCGTTGCTCGTCGTCTTCCTGGATTCAGCAAGAAATCTGCCGGTAAGTCAGTCTGATCCAACTTCCCAGCATGCACCTGGGCTAATGATTTCCAGTTTTAACCCTCAAGTCAAGAGGCGCTTTCACACCGGAGTACTTTTCCCAAGAACTAGGCCGATAGGGGGGGGGGAGATTTGGTTTCACACCAAAAAGATCTGGAACTAGTCCCTAGTTCACGCGAACCTTTTCACCCCCAGATAGTTCCTGCTAGAGAGGGGGTACTTTCCTGGGGAGGAAATGGTTCGTGGGTGTGTCGGCCACACTAACAATTTCTGATTGTCTGGGCGAATTGCAAACCACGCCCCGTAAAACACCAAAAGGTTTTGTGAAGCCGCCATTTTATTTGCTGGCATTAGCATTATTAGCATTAGCATTAGCCCAGCGCACCAACGGAGAGAGACTAACTTATGGCAACACAAAAGAAAACATGGGAGCAGTGGAGATGAGGAGGTGTCGGCGCTTCTGGCGATTTACTCGGAAGGCTTCAGTAGAAGCTGCTGGGAGTCCCAGCAGCTTCTACTGAAGCCTTCCCCAACTCCGGGGGACTCCGGGACTTCGGGTGGCAGTATACGCCGTGAAGTTGTTTGCGGTCTGCCAGTAAACCCAAAGCAGAAGAAGAAGAAGTGATGTCAGCGGCTTCATTTGCGTAATCCTCCCTCAGGGAACTTATTCCGGTGTGAACGCGATCTGCTAGGACAGTTACAGGGACTAAAGAGTTTGGGGGGACTAAGTACCGGGAACTAAGTACCGCAAAGTACTTGGTGTGAAAGCGGCTAAGGAGAGAAAAAGGGGGTTTGTTGTTGATTGTGTTTTGGAAAGCAACTTGTTTTTAAGATATAGGAACTGTTGTGCCCTGTCTGTTATAAATCTGACTCTTTCTGAACTTTTTAACTTAACATGTTGATTTCTCTGCTTATTTTGTGTTATTTAGTTTTTACGAGACTCTCCGTAACACTGTTGATGTATTTTTACATCATTTTTTTAAATTATTGCTGTAGGTTGCTGTCTTTGTTGCTGTGTGGTTGAATACTCTTAATGAGTATTTCCTGATTTCCCAACCATGAGATGCTGAAGGAGTTTTAAAACACACATTGTTGGGAACAGATGAAGAGTTTTACAAATCCAGTTTTATCTCGTTGGATCCAGTTTCTACTTCAGTCTTTCACTCATTTTCTTTTCTGAACTTATTTTCTGTTCTTCACTCCATTTCCTCTCAAATATACCATAGAATAAGCTAAAGCCTACCAAATAATAGTGATTAATGTTGTCATAGTGCTTTATTCAGATATCTTTACAAATCAAACCGAATGAAAGTTAAAAATCCCATTTATTTATTTTTTTAAATATGCTAAAATCAATATTTGCTTCAATGCTAAATATTCTTCTGTTTGATAAAATAACATAATACATTGAATATTTTACTCATGTATGAACTAGTACTGGTGCAGCAGTTCTATCAGTCAAGTAAGTCTACATTTGTTTCCTAAATAAAATAATAGAAATTGTATAAAACGGTAAAAAATATATACTCATTATGTCAAAAAATGTAGTCTTTTTTATTAAATATTATTATAACGTAAAACCACATTTGAAATAAACCTCTTGAAATGGATTTGCCTAAAATAAAACATTATTATTATTATTTCATCTGGCAGTATGTAGCTGTAGCTGTTCACAATTCTATCACGCAGTATTTCCTGATTGAAATACCTTTTATTTGTTAGCTTTAACCTCCGTAGTGCAGGCTTACCTTCCTCTTTTCAGCCCCTTCTTCTTCCTCCTCTTCCTCTTCCTCATCTCTGAAGAGCGTCTTCGAGGGGAACTTGGGTTCGGGATACTTAAAAGAGAGGCGGGCGGCGGGCCTCGTGTTTTGCGAGAACACGGCTTCTCTCTATAGGACGTTATTTGTGAGTGGGTTTGATCACTGATAGATAACATCTGCTCGACGTCATGCTACCCTTTTTGTTACGTTTGTTAAAAAAAGAAATCGTTTGGAGTGTTTGCCTGATGAGCATGAATCCAGACTCGTGCATGAGAATTCATTCAATCATTTTATTCATTATTTGTTTTAGGAATAACCCGTGTTTGAAAACCATAGCAGTGGTGGGCGGAAGCAACATGCTAATCATGCTAAATACAGCGCTAGCTAAGCAGCAGTTGGTCAAAAAGACTTATCACCCACAGATTGCTTTAAAAATACCTCATGACCTAGAGGGGGTTCGACACACTCTAAGGAACACTTTCGTTTTGTTTACTCGTGATCCAAGCGAGTAATTACATAAGTTAATGAACCGTTTTCTAGCTTAAAGGGGTCATACTATGCTCATGTATATCAGTATGTAGTGTCTCTACTTTAAAGAGTCCTCTCCTGCTGATGTTCAGGTGTATATCAGTATGTAGTGTCTCTACTTTAAAGAGTCCTCTCCTGCTGATGTTCAGGTGTATATCAGTATGTAGTGTCTCTACTTTAAAGAGTCCTCTCCTGCTGATGTTCAGGTGTATATCAGTATGTAGTGTCTCTACTTTAAAGAGTCCTCTCCTGCTGATGTTCAGGTGTATATCAGTATGTAGTGTCTCTACTTTAAAGAGTCCTCTCCTGCTGATGTTCAGGTGTATATCAGTATGTAGTGTCTCTACTTTAAAGAGTCCTCTCCTGCTGATGTTCAGGTGTATATCAGTATGTAGTGTCTCTACTTTAAAGAGTCCTCTCCTGCTGATGTTCAGGTGTATATCAGTATGTAGTTGTCTCTACTTTAAAGAGTCCTCTCCTGCTGATGTTCAGGTGTATATCAGTATGTAGTGTCTCTACTTTAAAGAGTCCTCTCCTGCTGATGTTCAGGTGTGTATCAGTATGTAGTGTCTCTACTTTAAAGAGTCCTCTCCTGCTGATGTTCAGGTGTATATCAGTATGTAGTGTCTCTACTTTAAAGAGTCCTCTCCTGCTGATGTTCAGGTGTATATCAGTATGTAGTGTCTCTACTTTAAAGAGTCCTCTCCTGCTGATGTTCAGGTGTATATCAGTATGTAGTGTCTCTACTTTAAAGAGTCCTCTCCTGCTGATGTTCAGGTTTATATCAGTATGTAGTGTCTCTACTTTAAAGAGTCCTCTCCTGCTGATGTTCAGGTGTATATCAGTATGTAGTGTCTCTACTTTAAAGAGTCCTCTCCTGCTGATGTTCAGGTGTATATCAGTATGTAGTGTCTCTACTTTAAAGAGTCCTCTCCTGCTGATGTTCAGGTGTATATCAGTATGTAGTGTCTCTACTTTAAAGAGTCCTCTCCTGCTGATGTTCAGGTTTATATCAGTATGTAGTGTCTCTACTTTAAAGAGTCCTCTCCTGCTGATGTTCAGGTGTATATCAGTATGTAGTGTCTCTACTTTAAAGAGTCCTCTCCTGCTGATGTTCAGGTGTATATCAGTATGTAGTGTCTCTACTTTAAAGAGTCCTCTCCTGCTGATGTTCAGGTGTATATCAGTATGTAGTGTCTCTACTGGGACATGTCTCCATGCTTTAATGTTCAAAAAGCTCTTTATTTTTCTCATGAGAAAAACCTCACCTCTTTTCACCCTCTGTCTGAAACGAGAGCCCAGTCTGCTCTGATTGGTTAGCTGGCCGGCTCTGTTGTGATTGGTCAACCGCTTAGAGATGTCACATACAAAGAAAAAGCGTGCATCCTAAGAGGCATAGCATACAATAAAGCAGAGGATTTCATCAATTCCTTTGTGTTTCTCGTGCAAATTAGTTTCTTCTTATCTTTGAGACTCTGAGAGCAGGGAGGCTGAATTCTCTCTGGATTGCTTTCCCTCCATCCTCCCTGAAGACACCCATTCTCTTTAGTAGCACATTGTAACCCCTCCATGAAGAACTGTGGCTATTTTATTTCATTCATTTTAAAGTAATGCACAGACCTGTTGACAAGAAACGACCTTAACACTGAAACACATGATGTAGTTCTCACTGTTTGCCACTAGGTGTCTCTAATGAGCACTGCTTTGATGATATGTCCCTTTACAGTTTACCTGTCAACAAGTCTGTGTTTTACTTTAAAAATCTAACCCTATAATAACCCTAACTTCACATGTATCCATGTTACTTCAAAGCTAACCTTGGGGATAATGAGGGAAATCCAATATTTAAAAAATGACAACAATATCCTCTTAAATACATTTGATTTGAACGTTTAATTTTTCATTTTTAACCCCACACTTTTTTCTGAGATACATTGATTTCAAACCTGCACTGTGTGTTCCTGTGATGAGATGATAACGATCTGACACTATCGTTGAAATGAATGGATTTCCCGCCTACATACACATATAAATGTCACCCGGTGTCTCTTTCCTCTGATCCTCATTCATCAATCTCTTTCCATGTTAATCAATGACTCCCATCTAATGCTGTCTTAACTAGAGTCCAACTAATATGCTTTAAAATTGGGTTTATGGCAGATATTTTTGTATTAACATAATTCAAGACAAATTAAATTGTAATGTTTTATTTCTTTTGACATTTTTTAATTTTATTTTAAACTATAGTGGATTTTTTTAATCAACAATTAAAATAATATACATAATAAGACATTTCATTTTTATATTTTTATTTTGTACTATATATTATTTATTACTATTATTATGTATTATTATTTCATATTATACATTTCATATTTTTATTATTTTTTATTTATTATTATTACATTTCAATTTGTTCATGATTTAAAAAAAACGTAAATATAATTATATTTAAATGAAAAACCCCTCCTTTGCAATAAATCTTGAATTGTATCCTTAAATATATATATATATATTAAAACAAATATATATATATATATATTAATTTCGGCCTGATAAATCCAGTATTGGTCGGACTCTAGTTTTTCCTCATGTCCAGGTTTTAATTGGGGAATGAAATTAACCATGTGATCATCTGTGTTGTCTCTTTGTCTGTCCAATTGGTGTCTTCCTCATCCTCCTCCTCATCCCTGCATGCCCCTCTTTCCCCTAATAACCTCCTGGTGTGTGTGTTTCCATGTGTGTGTGTGCTCTCTCCTGGGGAAAATCAAAGCGCAATCCGTTAGAGTTCAACCAGTCGGGGCTGAGGAAGACCTCGGTCAGTAAAGCTCTGAAGGTAAACAAGCACTCCCGTATCAATGAGACACCGAGCAACACAGTTTATTATCTTTAAAGGTCCCCTATTTTACTGTTTTTCATCAATATATTATAGGTCTCAGATATATACAGAGCCTGTCTCTGATTGGCTGAAACACCAAACAGATCATTGCAGCATCCCATAATCCCCTCTGTTTCAGCCCTGTTTCAAAAGTGCTGATTCTCTGTCTGTTACTTTAGATGAAAATACTTTATTGATCCTAATTTTGGGTTCCAGCAGCATAATTCTATCTACCTACCTACCTACCTACCTACCTACCTACCTACCTACCTACCTACCTACCTACCTACCTACCTACCTACCTATACCTACCCTACCTACCCTACCTACCTACCTAGCTACCTACCTACCTACCTACCTACCTATACCTACCCTACCTACCTACCTAGCTACCTACCCTACCTACCTACCTACCTACCTACCTACCTACCTACCCTACCTACCCTACCTACCTACCTACCTACCTACCTACCTACCTACCTACCTACCTACCTACCTACCTACCTACCTACCTACCTACCTACCTACCTACCTACCTACCTACCTACCTACCTACCCATTCTATCTATGCTATCTATCTATCATAAAAAGACAAGGCGTTGTACATTACAGAAATTAAAAGACTAGAAGTAATCAATCCAAAATGCAAACGTCACAAATAGAAATAAAATAGCATTAAAAAAGTAGAGAATATACATGTTGAAATACAAATGTACAGTAACAAAATATAAAGCGAATGTGTAAGGAATGAAATATTAAATGGAATATAAATACCAAATGTACAGTGTGAGTTCAACTCTCTAATTAAGGAGCACCTTACATCCTAAACTCTTAATGGAGTCAAATGTAAGGATTTTGGGACAGATTAGGTCTCTGTAAATATCAGGGAGTGATGTTTCTAAGCTCATTACATCATAATATAATGAGATGTTCCTAACAGGAAGTGAACCTACTTACTGACTGTTGTTGTGGAATCATTAACGAACTCCACTAATCATGTTTGTTTACTAAAACTGTGTCTAACAATGTGTGTAGTAAATAACAACATTGTTTCCCAAAGTTACATTTACACTCATACGTCTGATTCTGATCTTGTTAAAAACTGATTTAATGTCAATGTACTTTCCCTCCTAACTCCTCTCCTTAAAAAGATTCACGTTTGACTGAAATGTGAAGAGTAGCTCCGGGTAGTTTGGTATCTTGGTAAACATATAAGATACCAAAGCCCAAAATGACACTGTATGAGCTCTAAATCCACATTTTGAAAGCTTTAAACATACTGTACAGTTAGCGCCATCTCATGTTGGCAAAACGTATTTTACACTTTAATATATAAAAACATACATACTCAACTTAATTTTAGATTTAATTTCAGATGTTTACTTGTATTTCTTTATGTTAAGAATATGCTATATATGAGATCAATCTTTACCAAAGCTTGTAGAGTTGAAGACTTCATATTTGTGTATTTATTTGCTTGTAAAACGTTTTTCTTCCTCTCCTGCAGTCCGGTAAAAAAGTGACCAGCGATCCAAATCCATTCGTCCAGTTCAGAGTGGGACACAAGTCCTACGATAGCAAGGTGAGACCAAAACACGGTGTTATTTTAGGAAGTATACTCCTTAATGGGAGGCGTGTGGCGCAGTGGGTTAGTGCGTTGGTGTTCGGATCAGGGGAGCACAGGTTCAAACCCCACTGCAGTCAGCATGTCGTTGTGTCCCTGAGACACTTCACCCCAAATTGCTCCTGTGGGGATTGTCCACAGTATTGAGTATGTAAGTCACTTTGGATAAAAGCGTCTAACAAGTAACATGTCATGTAATGTAATAATCTTATGTATCCTCCTCATTTCAAAACGCAACAGAGTTATGTACGTTTTATCTAAAGTAATACTTGAAATACGTCATGGGAATAAATGGATTGGGGGTAACTTTGCCTTTTAGTTAGCAGATACTGTAACATTGTGTGAATTTAAGTTGTTAACTTACTTTCTTGTGTCCGTGCATTAAGTACAAAGATAGAGTCAGGGTGTTGTTAGCCTAGCTTAGCATAAAGACCAGCTAGTTTTGAGTCTTTATGCTAAGCTAGGCTAACCGTGTGGTGAATTCAGCTCTGTAAGTAAAACACAAATCATCATATCTTATCAGCGCACTTTCCCTTAGAAATACGCTGTGGTAATTTAGGAGACAATTTTCATGCAATAAGTCTGTTAATTTATTTTAATATAATGTCACCAACGATGCTAAGATAGCTATTCTCTACTGTAGCTGCTAAACTTAGCACATTTAGCGAGCAACTAACAGTACAATACGTTTGCAATTGGCTGAATCTTCACACATTTTAATGGACAAAATGCCATTTTCAGACTTGTTCTATCTTATTAAATACAAAAAAACATATTATTTTGTATTTAATGGAGTTTGTGACCAGTTTACCCAAATTTCCCTCTAACTCCTCTCTGTTGTTTCCTCCTTCAGACCCGATATAAGACCAATGAGCCGGTGTGGGAGGAGGCGTTCACCTTCCTGATCCATAACCCCCGCAGCCAGGAGCTGGAGGTCGAGGTACGGAGGCTAATCTTAGTCTTTTTTTAATATTTTCTTTGCTACTGTAGTCTAAACTTTATAAGCAGTAAAGGCGAGACAGTCTATGGCAGGGCTTCTCAAACTCCGGACCAAGGTCCCGATCCGTACCGAACCCTGTGTTCCATTACCATGACCGCAAGTTAACCGCAAGTTTACCTTGTCTTTCTTAATGCTTCTAATGCCTTTTTTGCCGAGGTTGAAGGCATCGGCTACAGACAAACAGTGCCATTTCTACTGGCATTGATCCGGACCAGTGACCTTGTATACAATTCACAAGTGGACCTTTAATAAAAAGATTTGAGTACCCCTGGTCTATGGGGAGACTCTGGATCTTAATTTGGACGATTCAGTGAAGAAAGAAGATGTCGTACTTTGTCCAAATTAAAGATTAAATGCAGCGCGGCAAAAACTGTGGCATGCCCCCTCAGCATCCCCCCCCCCCCCCCCCCACGTTTATATTTTTTGAGAATGAGTTCTTATTTTATTTAATGTATTTGGGTCTACAACAGATTATACAAATGTTTATGTCAGTAAATGTGTACTAACAGAGGCGGGGGTGTTTGTGAAAACAACGGGGACAGAGCTGCTGTCAGACGATCAGCTGTGCGGCGTCATCACAAACGGACGTCGCTTCACGTGACGCTCCGGAGGAAACGACGTCCCATTGCTCTTAAAACTAATTTCCCTGCTTCTCGTGGTTTCCTTGCGTCTCTCCATGCTTCCCTGGTGGGAGGGACTAGTCGCAGGGAAACAACGCAAGTGAGGGACGCAAGGAATCCATTTAACCGACCTGAGATGCAGCCACTGTCAGCTCCTTGTAGCAGCGAGCTGACCAATCAGAGCACACTGGGCTCACAGGGAGGGGGCGGGGGGGGCAGGAGCTCCAACAAGGCGTGTAGGACAGAGTGTTCATACTATACAGAGATGCTGTATGAGAAACCAATGTGAGTTTGGAACATTGAACAATGTAAATCTATTCTAGTAGACCTCAACAATGGAATTATGATCAGTAGAAATGGCCATGACATGGGACCTTTAAATTATCTATAACCCCCACTTTGTACTTTGACGTTTGACTTATTCATCAACATTTAATCAAAATGGCTATAACTTAATGGTTTAATTCTGCAAACGGTCTCAAAAAAGACTCTCTCTTTGGGCCTTTTTAAATATTTTCCTTGCTAATTTAGTCTAAAATATATAAGCAATAAAGGCGAGACAGTCTGTGGAGAGACTCTGGATCTTAATTTTGACGATTCAGTGAAGAAAGAAGATGTCGAACTCTGTCCAAATTAAAGATGAAATTACCTAAAACCCCCACTTTATATAGAGAAACTGCTCGTTATTGTACTTTGACCAATTATTCATAAAGATTTAAACAAAATTGCTATCATTTAATGGTTTGATTCTGCAAACTGTCTCCAAAAAGCCTCTCTCTGTGGGTCTTTTTGAATATTTTCTTTGCTGCTCTAATCTAAACATTATTCGCAGTAAAGGCGAGACACACTCAAGACAAAAACAATGACTTCCCCTCCGTGTGTTTCCAGATTAAAGACGAGAAACACGAGTGTACGTTGGGCGTTTTGACGGTGCCGCTGACTCGCCTTCTGGAGGCCGAGGAAATGACCTTAAATGAACGTTTCCCCCTCAAGAACTCCGGCCCGAGCTGCACGCTGAAGATGAAGATGGCTCTGAGGGTAAGATAAGAGAAGAAGTACTTTATTGATCCCAATTTGGGAAATGTTTGGCACAAGGCATTGCACATGATTATATAACACAGATTCTACACTGATTCTGATTCTGTTTTAATTTCAGGTGCTGAGCTTGGACAAAACCCCTCCCTCTTCCTCCGAACCCTCCTCCCCCTCTTCAGTGCAGGTCAACAAGAACAAGAAAACAAACCCTCAACCTGCCGCCTCTTCCTCCGACTCCCCCGTTCCTCCCTCCTCCACCTTCGATATCCCTCGCTCCGCCTCAGTGTCGGCGCAGGACGTCATGAATCGAAGGAAAGAAGCCAACGATCCGAACCGCTCTGTAGGGAGCACTGATTTGGGGCAGGGAGGAAGAGGAGGAGGTTTAGCTCTGAGTGGGAGAAGCTCCTCTAATCTCGCCATTTCCGGGTCGCAGCAATATCTGGCGGGAGGAAAAGAGCTGACTCCAAGCATCGCTTCTGATATCTCCAACCCTTACGCCACTCAGGAGCTCCAGCAGAGACTCGCGCAGCTGCAGAAGTAACTATCAAACTATCACATATCAATTTATCTCAAGTCAAGTCAACTTTATTGTCAATCTTTCAGTTTGTGTGTACCAAGCCCCAGGGAAGTGCCCAAACGGCGGTACTACAACTCCCGTATCAGTCCGTGACGTCACCCGGCCCAGAAAGACTTTTCCCCATTGACTAACATCGGGAAAGAGTAGTCTGTAAATCAGCTTATCATTTTTTTTAAACAAAATAAACTACCCAGCACGAACACTATTACATCCCTTATTAGAATCATTCGGTCCTTAAAAGTTGTAAAAATGCCACTAAAAGCTGAATCTAGATTTATTTTTTCCTATCCATCATTCTACTGAGCACGAAGGTGGGCAGGGGCTTAATGACAGGGGCGGGGCTACGGGAAAAACGCAACTCTCCCTCTATGAGCTACATACTACGGGGTACTTCGGTCCTTGACAGCAAGGCAATGATGGGTAATTTTGTGACGTTTTTGCTTCTCGAGAATGTCAGGCCATTTTGTTCCTCATGCGCAAAAGAGAGCTCTCATATGAAAGAACGAGACCCCGCCTCCCACGTGTATCCAGTTCTTAGTATACAGCCAGGGAGTGTGGGACAGGAGATCGATAGATTAGAGATCGAGAGAGAGACTCGCAGAGAGAGGATAATATAGTCTCTCTCTCTCTCTCGACAGAGAGATCTCTCTATCGATCTTCTCTCTCTCTCTTCTCGCTCTCTCTCCTCTCTCTCTCTCTCTCTCTTCTCTATTCTCTCTCTCTCTCTCTCTCTCTCTCTCTCTCTTCCTCTCTCTCTCTTCTCTCTGCAGTGGTTCTGGTCCCGGTCACTCCCCTCTGGGTGAGATCCAGCTCACTATCAGACACTCCTCCCAGAGGAACAAACTCATCGTGGTGGTGCACGGCTGCAGGTACGAACAACACAGAACCAGGAGTTTTACTGACTCTATATATCAGGAGAGGGTTTTTTAAGTCTTCAGTTATAATCTGTTGTTTCCCTTCCCTCAGAAACCTGATAGCGTTCACGGACCACGGCTCGGACCCGTACGTCCGCCTCTACCTGCTTCCCGACAAACGGAGGTCAGGGAGGAGGAAAACTCACACCTTCAAGAAGACCCTCAACCCCGTTTACGACCAGACGTGAGTCCCACCTTCACTGGCCTTTTTGGACAACTTATTTTCATTAAAAGTCAAAAAAGAACTAGATCTATGATATGTAGTGTGTGGAGTTATCCCAAATCTTTCCAACAATTGTCAAACCAGAGAAATCTGTCGTTATTAATCAGAATCAGAATCCCTTTATTAGTCCCACAGAGGGGAAATGTACATTTGTTACAGCAGAAAAGAGCCAAAGACAGCGTAATGTTACCTAAGAAGCATGCATGAAAAAAAATAACAGTAAAAAAAGTTGAATAATTTACAAAATGCACATCCTGTAACAGTTCTGAGGATTTAGCAGCCAGGTATAGCCAGTTATTAACGGCATATATATATTGCACATAGTTGGTTGGTATTTAACAACAAGGGGTGTTATCGTCTGTTAACAAGGTAGCGTTGCATTTGGCCTCCTCTAATGGCATTTTACCCCCATATTTTACTGTCAGAAACCTTCAAGCCACATATTTACAAAACACTTTGTAGATTTGTAGATAAAAAAAACAGTGACTTGATGGGATGGTGAGAGCAAATGATATCACCAAACGCTGTCTTTAGTTAATTTGTTGATTGACGGTCCAAGAATCAGAATCAGAATCCCTTTATTAGTCCCACAGAGGGTGTGGTGGGGGAAACTTCTGTAGCAATGGAGAGTCAGGACTCAAAGAGACACGAGGAGAGCTGGAGCTTTGATGGCAAACACTGACGGTTTATTTGGAGCTTCGGCCGGAGAATTGACAAGACAGGTGGTGTGTCACGAGTTGACACAGCGGTTGCCAAACCAATTCTGAAGAACTCTTTCTGCAGCTCGAGGTTTTAACTAGTTCGGAGTGTAATAATCAACATTCTTCATCAGCGAGATTAAACAATTATGGACCCTGAATCTAACTAGAGCTCTCGTCCATAGGAAAGAATGTGCGCCAGAGAACCTACGTCCCTGAACAGTAAACTACCTCATGGCGGCTTGTGCTCTGTCATAGACTGGCAACAACAATGCGCCCAAGCTGCCCCTCCTTACGAGAGATAGCAGCGATACCCAAGGCCGCAGACCTATGCCATGGGAAGGAGACAGTGAGATGAGAACATGATGAACTGGGTCGAAGGTTGAATACCTAAGCATATTATTCCCTAACCGTGAGCATTTGGTGAGGGATATTGTCAGATATCTGGAACAAACTCCCAGAAACCTGCAGGTCCGCTGCAACTCTGACTACTTTGAAATCCAGGCTGAAGACTTTGTAACTTTTATTTATTTTTAATTATCTTTGCTTTTTAATGTTTCTAATGTGTTTTATGCTCTTAATGTTTTTGATTTTTGTAAAGCACTTTGAATTGCCTTGTGTTGAAAAGTGCTATATAAATAAACTTGCCTTGCCTTATAGTCTGGAGTGGCAGGAAAATAAATACTATAGGCGTTTTCACACCAAGTACTTTTCCCAGGAATAGTTCCCGGGACTTTTATTTCCTGGAACTATCTAGTAAATCGTGTTCACACCGGAATAAGTCCCTGAGGGAGCCGCTGACGTCACTTCTTCTTCTTCTGCTTTGGGTTTACTGGCAGGCCGCAAACAACTTCACGGCGTATACTGCCACCCGAAGTCCCCGGCCGGAAGTCCCCGGAGTTGGGGACTGGCTTCAGTAGAAGCTGCTGGGACTCCCTGCAGCTTCTACTGAAGCCTTCCGAGTAAATCGCCAGAAGCGCAGACACCTCCTCATCACTCCACCGCTCCGCTTTCTTTTGTGTTGCCATAAGTTAGTCTCTCTCCGTTTGTGCGCTGGGCTAATGCTAATGATAATAATGCTAATGCGAGCAAATAAAATGGCGGCTTCACAAAAACTTTTCAGAGTTTTACGGGGCGTGGTTTGCAATTCGCCCAGCCAATCAGAAATTGGAACCTTTTCCTCCCCAGGAAAGTACCTGCTCTCTAGCAGGGACTAAAAAGGGGTGAAAAGGTTCTCAATTTTTTTTTCAGAACTATTCCTGGGAAAAGTACTCCGGTGTGAAAGCGCCTTGTGCTTTTAAACGTAGTATTTTAGCAGCTGATGATTGGTAATGTTTCCTCTCCTCCTCAGCTATGAGTTCAGTGTGTCTCTCGTGGAGCTCCACAGACGCACTCTGGACGTCGCGGTGAAGAACGGAGGAGGACTGCTCTCCAAACACAAAGGCCTTCTGGGAAAGGTACGCTCTCTCACTACAGATTCTACACGCTTCATTAAACACAGAAATGTCTTGAAATCAATCCAATTATCTATAAAGCAGTCTTTGTTTGAGGATTATGGATTTAAATCTTGAGTTTTGACAATATTCCAGTTTGTTCATCTACCTGAAATAGTGTTACAAGAGTATCTTCAAGGATGGTAGATTATTCTGCTCATGTCATATCAACTGTTTGCAGTCTTTTAAACACTTGATGTAGCATTTTTAAATAAGCTCTGTTGTCTTTTCTCCTCAGGTTCTGGTGGATTTGACGTACGAGGACACGTCTAAGGGTTGGACACAATGGTGAGTGATTGATATCTCACTTATTATTTATATAACTCTGATCATACAAATATGAAGACCAACAAACAGCTCAGTTTCATGTATGTTGTTAAGAAATCTTTGAATAAAAATAAAAGCATGTATCTGTCAGATTTCCCAAATAAAAGCATGGATCTGTCAGATTTTCAAAATAAAAGCATGTATCTGTCAGATTTCCAAAATAAAACATGGATCTGTCAGATTTTCAAAATAAAAGCATGTATCTGTCAGACTTCCAAAATAAAAGCATGTATCTGTCAGATTTCCAAAATAAAAGCATGTATCTGTCAGATTTCCAAAATAAAAGCATGGATCTGTCAGATTTTCAAAATAAAAGCATGTATCTGTCAGACTTCCAAAATAAAAGCATGTATCTGTCAGATTTCCAAAATAAAAGCGTGGATCTGTCCGATTTTCAAAATAAAAGCTTCTCTTTCTCCTCCTGCAGGTATGAGCTGAGTGAAGATGGTCTGACGAAACCTCAACAACTATAGAGCGAAACAACCATCACAATCACCATCATCATCATCATCACCATCATCACCACAACCATCATCATCATCATCATCATCATCATCACCACAATGATACGAGACATCTATTATTTTTACTAAGTGTACAAAGTAAAGAAGAAGCAGCTTTGATCCATTTAACCACATCAGTCGCAAGGCAGACCTCCCCTTTAAGAAGAGCCAGGCTTTAAAGGGAGTATTCCACATGTAGAATATTCAATATATCACCAATACTACTATGTACTGCTGTGGAAAATATATTCCATATTTATAGGAGAATATATATACCAGCTGTAGATGAAGACAATCTATTTTTTTGCGGTAAAATATGTAAAAGTTTGTAAATATATAAACGATGACGCTCGACTAAAGAGGGCGCCGTGTTTGAGAGAGATTCAGGCCAAATGATTGTTTGTCGTTTTCTTTGATTTCTTTGAAAACATTCTAGACGCCACCAAAGAGACGAGAAGTCATTTTTTGTATTCTCTTCCCTCGTTTGCTTTCCTCTGGTTTAATTCCACTTTGATAACATGTGTTTAAAACATCTTAAAGATAAGTATAAGTACACACAGGGGCGCCGCTTGCAAAGAGGCAAGGCAGGGCTTGGGGCCCCGGACCAGAAGGGGGCCCCCAAAGGAGGTAGATTAAGAAGGTCCACAACATGAAACACCCTTTCATTTACTGCAAGGACATGTCGGGAAACCCCCTCAAGGCGCCCCCATGCATAGCGCGCCGTAAAATGCTGCTTCTTATTTTAAGTTTCGTTGCCTTGCTCCGCTCTGGGGGGGGGCGGAGAAGAGTGTGTTGGGGCGCCACTGATGGCTGGTTTCGAGGGGCCCCCAGTGAATTTTTGCCTAGGGCCCCCACAGACTCTAGAATCGCCACTGAGTACACAAAAGGTGTGTTGAATCCACAGTTTTTGTATCCGGTAATACACCTGTTGTTATTCTAGAATAAGGCCATTGTTATTGTTTTTAAAGCTGAATATTTTGTGTTTTTTGTATCTATCTGGGATCATCAGTCGGTTTTAGCGAGTAGTTCTTATCTCAAATTAAGAGTATTTATAATTGAAAAAATGCCAAATTAGAGAGTCATGTATTGCAATTATATAAATAACATATTTATGGAGTAGTGATCCCTTCCTTTATGAGAAAAGACCTATTTTTTCTGTTAAATATGAAAGTTAGAAGTTGAAAACAGACAGATTTATCCGTATTTCCCCAAATATTAGTATTGCAATTATCACGCATATTTTCTTCATTTATCTAAAGCCACTATGTACAAAAACACATTTTATACACATTTATGGTATTGTCATGTTCCCCGATTAATGTGTATCATAAAGAAACCATCACTTCCTGTCGGCTTTTCACAATAAGATATCTCCAGTTTTTTGTCTTTTATTTTGAAAATACAGGAATAAATCAGTGAATAAAGACAGTGCTTGTGATGTGATTAATGTGTAGCTATCCTAAAGAAAACATCACTTCCTGTCGGTTTTTCACAATAAAAGATATCCAGTTTTTTGTTTATTTGAATATCTTTTATTTTGAAAATACAGGAATAAACCAGTGAATAAAGACAGTGTTCGTGATGTTTAAATTACAGAAGAAATCTAATAAAAGTGGCTTGAAAAACTGATACAATTGGGAAAAAATGACATTAACAAAATGTACACATTAACAGTTTACACTTTAAATTTACACCAAAAATATTCCTAGTACAAATATATGTTTGCACCACTTTTCACATTAATAAAAACACTTCTGATTGCTTTTTTATTTTTAAAAAGCTTTTTAATACACAAAAAAGTACATTTAAAAAATTCACATTGGTCCCCAAACTAAGAGAAATTATCTGCAACACAAAAAAATGTCCCCTTTTTGTAACATTGTCAAAAATATGCGAAAGATAAGCTTTATTTACTGGCCAATAAATATGGACAAATAATGGATAAAATAAAATCTTCTGAAAAATATCAAATAATTACAAATAAATCCACAAATAACTACTTTTAAAATTGAGAAAATTGGAATTAATTGACATCTCATAAAATTAGAAATAAGGTTTAAAAAAATGTGCTTTTTTTTTTTTTTTTTTTTAGTTAGTCACCATTTCAGTCTGGGTTTATATCGTCATGAGTTCCGCTATAATCAAGTTTTCCACATGTTGTTTATGAATCAACATGAGTCTTAACGTGTCAATAATACGTGTCATTTTTAGGTCTTGAAATTGTTGAAATTCACGTTTACTTATTTTATTTGGTGTACATATATTTGTTACCGCGCATATCATGTTTAAAAACTGCATTGATTTCACAGCACTTGCTCAAAAGGGATTTATATCAAACTACAACATAAATGTTAGTATTTAAAACAGCAAATAATATCGTTTCTTTTCAAATACACTCTCTTGCCATCAAGAAAGTATTTTACGCACATGTATGAACGCTCTGTTATGTATGTAATGTTTTATTACGTGTATTTTGCAGCTGTCACCCATTTCTCTTCCTTGTTCCTGTTTTATTTTGAAAGGATCAAACTGTTTTCTCTTTTGGATGCGAGAGCTTCTCTGAAAGGCGGTTTTGTTGTTCCCCGTCTTCTTAATTTATCTTGTGCCTTAAGAGATATTTACGTGTATAAAAAAATAAGAAGATGCTTCAACGGTTTTTCCTCATGTGTCACAATGTCTCCTAAATGTCTTTTAAAAAGAAATAAAGAGCTTTAGCTGGCCATAGCAGCATGGAGCTGTACAGCACTGTGTTTCTCATCATTTCTGTATTTATCATTGCACTGCTATTGGCTAGCGCTCCAACACATTGTACGTGATAGGCTAAGGGGCGGGACATCTCTAAGCGGTCGACCAATCACAACTGATCATTAAAGCATGGAGACATGTCCCAGTAGAGACACTACATACTGATATACATCTGAACATCAGCAGGAGAGGACTCTTTAAAGTAGAGACACTACATACTGATATACACCTGAACATCAGCAGGAGAGGACTCTTTAAAGTAGAGACACTACACACCTGAACATCAGCAGGAGAGGACTCTTTAAAGTACAGACACAACATACTGATATACACCTGAACATCAGCAAGAGAGGACTCTTTAAAGTAGAGACACTACATACTGATATACACCTGAACATCAGCAGGAGAGGACTCTTTAAAGTAGAGACACTACATACTGATATACACCTGATATTCATATCAAAAATCCAAAGGAGCACAAAAACAACAGCAGGAAACCTCCATTTGAAAAACAGCTGCAGTTTACTTTTTTTTTTTTTAACCTTTTGAAATAAAATCTCAGAAATCAGAAAAATACTCAATTTAATTTCTGAGGTGTTGTTTTTTTTTGGCAGCTAGACTTCATCACTTATGTTGCTCTCACAGCAAAAATGCATTCATGACCCAATCTTAATTGTGTTTATAAAAGATTTAAGGGTAATTCAGGTTTATTTAAAATAATGTCCCTTTTTTTTAACCATTAAAAGTCCAAATTACATCTTAAATAATTCATATTTCACCTTAAGTATCACACTCTGCTCTCATTACACCAGACCCATGTTTAGACACTGATGTTTTTAGGCCCACTACATTTCATATTACAACTTGGCATATTTGTATTGCAGACTACTTATCCGTAAGGGAATACAGAATACAGTACACAGAAATGCAATAGCACAATGTACTGTTTGGGGCTGATAATAGAGGTAGAGTAGCTCTGTTTTACGACTTACAATGCTTGACAGAAACCCTGCACACTCCCAGATAACACAGATAAGAATTCAAGTAGGCTATATTATATGTAATGCAGAACAACTTTCATGGCTGTATGAATGTAAAAGATGGTGTTTTAGTATATTAAAAAGTCGCTGAATGAAGAACTGGACAAAGTTCTTGCTGCTGTGTGCAGGTAACTGTGTTATTTCATCAACAATGTTACTTGCAAGAAGTGTGCATGAAAGGGTTAACAAAGGGTTAAAGAAGTCAGCAAAACAGCCCCCAACACTTTGTTTTCCCTCAGTGGGATTGACTTGTAGCCTCACTAACTTATTATAAGGACTTTGGAACAGGGTAATAGTCCTCTGCCACGTTGCCACTATAAAACCCTGATGAGCTATCCGTCTTCTTCCTGCTCTCATGCATATTGAAACTTATAAAACATAGCTTTTTCCACTGTCTCCTACAAAGGATGTTCATATGCACTATACTAATGCATGTTTTAAGACATCAGCCTATATGCTGCAGTTGTAGTAGATCTTCCAAGCATGACTGGACAAAGTGCTTGCTGCTGTGTTCATTTCAATTTCCTCAATTTACTCGCAGAGATCTCTCATTAAGTCAGCGAGAGAGCCTCAAAGCACCTTGTGTTTTCACAGTTTGATCAGCCTGAAAACTCTCACATTTACTGAAGGAAGCAGTGAGAGTGGACTTTGGAGCGGACTGTCTCTTTAACAACGCTCCCCCTTATGAATTGCGTCATACTTCCTGGTTCCCTCCCCTGTAGAGCTGCAGCTGGAGGATGGGTGTAACCAGTGCATGAGCTGATAAGCCCTATTCACTGCACACACACATGATCAGATCACACTCACACTAGTTTCAGGTTTCAGGAAGTGAAACTCAGACACTCGCAGTCACTGAGAGGTGAAATGGCGCAGAAAGGAGTTCAGCTGGACCGGGAAACCTTCTCTTGTTCGATCTGTCTGGATCTACTGAAGGATCCGGTGGCGACTTCCTATGGACACAGCTACTGCATGAAGTGTATTCAAACCCACTGGGATAAAGAGGATGAGAAGAAAGTCTACAGCTGCCCTCAGTGTAGAAAGAGCTTCACACCGAGGCCTGTCCTGCTGAAAAACACCATGTTAGCAGATTTAGTGGAGGAGCTGAAGAAGACTGGACTCCAAGCTGCTCCTGCTGATCACTGCTATGCTGGAGCTGAAGATGTGGCCTGTGATGTCTGCACTAGGAGAAAACTGAGAGCCTGTAAGTCCTGTCTGCAGTGTTTGGCCTCTTATTGTGACAAACACCTCCAGCCTCATTATGACGCAGCTACGTTTAAAAAACACAAGCTGGTGGAGCCCTCCAAGAAGCTCCAGGAGAACATCTGCTCTCGTCACGACGAGGTGATGAAGATGTTCTGCCGCACTGATCAGCAGTGTATCTGTTATCTCTGCTCTGTGGACGAACACAAAGGCCACGACACGGTGTCAGCTGCAGCAGAAAGGACTGAGAGGCAGAGAGAGCTGGAGGGGAGTCGACTAAACATCCAGCAGAGAATCCAGGACAGAGAGAAGGAGGTGAAGCTGCTTCAGCAGGAGGTGGAGGCCGTCAATGGCTCTGCTGATAAAGCAGTGGAGGACAGTGAGAAGATGTTCACTGAGCTGATCCGTCTCATGGAGAAGAGAAGCTCTGATGTGAAGCAGCAGCTCAGATCCCAGCAGAAGAGTGAAGTGAGTCGAGTCAAAGAGCTTCAGGAGAAGCTGGAGCAGGAGATGGCTGAGCTGAAGAGGAGAGACGCTGAGCTGAAGCTGCTGTCTCACACAGAGGATCACAACCAGTTTCTGCACAGCTACCCCTCACTGTCAGCCCTCAGTGAACCTACACACTCCTCCAGCATCAACATCCGTCCTCTGAGCTACTTTGAGGACGTGACGGCGGCCCTGTCAGCAGTCAGAGACAAACTACAGGACGTCCTGAGAGAGGAATGGACAAACGTCTCACCGACTGAAGTGGATGTTTTACTGTCAGCAGCAGAGCCCACCACCAGAGCTGGGTTCTTAAAATATTCACAGGAGATCACTCTGGATCCAAACACAGCACACACACAGCTGGTATTATCTGAGGGGAGCAGAAAAGCAACAGTCATGGAACAACATCAGTCTTATTCTAGTCACCCAGACAGATTCACTGTATATTCTCAGGTCCTGAGTAGAGAGAGTCTGACTGGACGTTGTTACTGGGAGGTGGAGTGGAGAGGGGTAAGAGTTCATGTAGCAGTCGCATACAAGAATATCAGCAGAGCAGGGAGGGGGCTTGAACGTGTATTTGGATACAATGACAAATCTTGGTCCTTAGAGTGTCACCAAAACAGTTATTCATTTCGTTACAACAGTATCCACACTCCCGTCTCAGGTCCTCAGTCCTCCAGAGTAGGAGTGTACCTGGATCACAGAGCAGGTATTCTGTCCTTCTACAGCGTCTCTGAAACCATGACTCTCCTCCACAGAGTCCAGACCACATTCACTCAGCCGCTACATGCTGGAGTTTATCTTTATGGTGATGGAGCCACAGCTGAGTTTTGTAAACTGAAATAGCCTGAAGTCATTTGAGGAACTCTTCTACTTCTTAAACTCATTGTGTGTCCATCATTGTTGCTGAGAGCTGATTGTTCATGTCTTCACTGCACAGAGATCAGCTGTCAATCAAACATTATGGGATGTGCTTTAACATCTTCTCATGAGTTGTTCTGTAGATGTTGGAGTTTCTTTAGGCGGCGCTCCTTCCTGTGTCTGTTTAGCCATGGAGGCTGTCACTGCTCAGGAGGATTTCTGTTAACCTCAACTCATATTTCTCTGCATGGAAATGTAAACTTTGCTCTAAATATTTGTTGAATATCGATATTGATTTATTTGTATGTTGTTGTTTCTATTGTAAAGCATGAGAGAGAGAAAGCACCAGAGCTTCTTTCATTGTAGATATTTTATTCTAAATGTCTTCAATGTGTTACTAAGTCTCAAAGTGTTGAATGCATAAAGGAAAGTTTGAAGAAGGAAATAAAACACATTAAAAGAAAAGCTAACAGGTTGAGTTTGTAATACATTGTGTTTCTATTTTCAAGATGTGATATGAGTGCCACATGTACATGTCTGTACAAAATAATATGTTGAGGTTTTTCTTGTTAATAAAAAAGCTAAGAGGAAAAAATCTCAGTCTTTTGTTTTTTTAATTAAAAAATATTTGTAAATTATTTTTCTAAAACAAGATATTTGCATTTTTTATTTATTTTTAGGATTAAGAAAATAATAATAAATGAATGTGTATATCAGTATGTAGTGTCTCTACTTTAAAGAGTCCTCTCCTGATGTTCAGGTGTATATCAGTATGTAGTGTCTCTACTTTAAAGAGTCCTCTCCTGCTGATGTTCAGGTGTATATCAGTAAGTAGTGTCTCTACTTTAAAGAGTCCTCTCCTGCTGATGTTCAGGTGTATATCAGAATGTAGTGTCTCTACTTTAAAGAGTCCTCTCCTGATGTTCAGGTGTATATCAGTATGTAGTGTCTCTACTTTAAAGAGTCCTCTCCTGCTGATGTTCAGGTGTATATCAGTATGTAGTGTCTCTACTTTAAAGAGTCCTCTCCTGCTGATGTTCAGGTGTATATCAGTATGTCGTGTCTCTACTTTAAAGAGTCCTCTCCTGCTGATGTTCAGGTGTATATCAGTATGTAGTGTCTCTACTTTAAAGAGTCCTCTCCTGCTGATGTTCAGGTGTATATCAGTATGTAGTGTCTCTACTTTAAAAAGTCCTCTCCTGATGATGTTCAGGTGTATATCAGTATGTAGTGTCTCTACTTTAAAGAGTCCTCTCCTGCTGATGTTCAGGTGTATATTAGTATGTAGTGTCTCTACTTTAAAGAGTCCTCTCCTGCTGATGTTACCAGGGTAATTCAGGTTTATTTAAAATACATTCCCAGTGCTTTTACCCTTTTAAAATCCAAATTACATCTTAAATTGTTCACATTTCAC